TGGGTAGTCTATATCTGACTCTTGTAGTCTGTCAGTGTCAATTGCTCTTTCAGGGAATGCACCTTCCTTTTTTGGTCATTTTTCCCACAATACAATATTTGTTGCCCTTTCATTTAGCTTTCTAAATGTGTTAGAATCATGTTATTTGGTTTTGTTTTCATGGAGAAAAATGCAAAAAACAAAAAAAAACATGGCACTTGGAAGAATCTTTTACATCATATCTTCACAATGGGAGCACTTCACAACATAATTCAAACAGATTCAGGAAGCTACAGTGTAGGGCTACAACTTTCGTTTTTTGACCATTTTAGGAAATTGGTCATGTGATCACCCTCCCAACAACCCATGTGATACATATCATCATCATTATCTATTTTTGGTAATGAAAGTGCCAGGGAGCCTAATGAGAAGTAATGAAATCATCAAGGTGCTCAATGAAATATCCTAATGAAAGTGCCAAGAAGCCTAATGAAATATTCTAATGAGAATTCCATGAAATGGTAATGAAAGAGTCAAGGAGCTGAATGAAATATCCCAATGAAAATTCAATGAAAATCTAATGAAAGCGCCAAGGAGCCTAATGAAATATCCTACTGAGAACTGTAAGAAATGGTAATGAAAGGGTCAAGGAACATAATGAAATATTCTAATGAAAAAATTCAATGAAATGGTAATGAAAGGGTCAAGGAGCTGAATGAAATATCCCAATGAAATTTTTAAGAAATGGTAATGAAAGGGCCAAATACCTAATGAAATATCCTTATGAGAAATGGTAATGAAAAAGAGAAGGAGCCTAATGAAATATCCTAATGAAAATTCTAAGAAATGGTAATGAAAAAGCGAAGGAGCCTAATGAAATATCCTAATGAAAATTCTAAGAAATGGTAATGAAAAAGCGAAGGAGCATAACGAAATATTGTAATGAAAATTCCAAGAAAGCGAAGGTGTCTAATGAAATATCCTAATGAAAATTCTAAGAAATGGTAATGAAAAAGCAAAGGAGCATAATGAAATATCCTAATGAAAATTCTAAGAAATGGTAATGAAAAAGCGAAGGTGTCTAATGAAATATCCTAATGAAAATTCTAAGAAATAGTAATGAAAAAGCGAAGGAGCCTAATGAAATATCCTAATGAAAAGTCTATGAAATGGCAATGAAAGGGCCAAAGAGCTTAATGAAATATCCTCATGATATCTCATTATCCTTGCCTATATCTTATGAAAGATTCTAGTGATAAATTGAATGAAATAGATGGGCAATCCTAATGAGATGCCTTTCATAAAACCTGTGGCAGTATACACATTGCCTCTTGGACAGTTGTCATAGATTAATCATAAAAGTGGTAGCCACCAGTCCTATAAAGCTATCATGCCACTGCCGAACAAGAACGCCGCACAGAAAGTCTGTGCCATCATGGCAGGACTCGATGACGAAGAATTAGAAGAAGCAAAAGTTGCTTTTATAGAATCTTTGGATAAGAATCCAAACAAACCAGCCGAAGAAGAATCAGACAATGAAGACAAGGGTTTTCAGTGAGAAGGCTAGCAATGACGTCTAGACCTTCTAAACAATTTTCCATTAAAGCTCTTAAAATTCGAAGTGTACCTAACAATGACTCAAAATCTATGCGCATTAACACAAGAATTATTAATGGAAAGAAAACCGTCGAAACGAAAGCACTTATCGACAGTGGTGCTCAAGGAATTTTTATGGACGAACGATTTGCGAAAGAACACAGACTCCCGCTCTTGAGATTGGATAAGGAAATCCAAGTCTCAAACATAGACGAAAGTCCGAACAGGAATGGACCTATTAGGTTCTACACCCGACTCCTGACAAAAATCGATGGAAAAGTAAATTCCACTCGATTTTTGATTTCCAACCTAGGAAAAGAAGACGTAATCCTTGGATTACCATGGTTAGACAGAATTAATCCTGAAGTAAATTGGACAAAGAAGACCATCAAGATTATCCCAGACAGGATAAAGAAACCGAACATACGACAAGCCGTAGACCGAGAAATCCAGATTCTAAAGATAGAATCAGAACGCGAAAGAATGAAGTCAAGCTTTCGCAGATCAGCTGTGAAAAATCCCTGACAGAAGAGACCAAAAGAAGAGATCAACGGTCTCTATTGAAGAAGTACCTGATGAAGATGCAACCCCAAAATTTGAAAGATTAGCAGATAACGAAGAAGCCATTCTCATAGCTGTGAATGAACTTCCCGATCAATACAAAGATATGCCGGCCCTAGTACCCGATACAGAAGACAATGAAGAAGGAGATCTTGTTGCCACATATCTCCAAGAAGAAACCATAACAGTATCTAGATCAAAGAAAGAAGAACCCCTGAATCAACCAATTCAGATTGATTCAGACATAACAATCAGAGCCAAGACATCCATATCGCAGAGCCTTGCACATAAGGAAGAAACAAAAGAAGAGAAGACTTTTGAGGATCTAGTCCCGAAAGAATACCACCGATTCCGATCAGTATTCGAAAAGAAAGCATCAGAGCACTTTCCCGAATCAAGACCATGGGATCATAGAATCGATCTCAAACCGGACTTCATGCCAAAGAGATCAAAACTCTACCCATTAGGACAGAAAGAAGAAGAAGAAATGAACAAGTTCATTGACGAAAACCTAAAGAAAGGTTTTATTAAACCATCAAATTCACCTCAGGCTTCACCTTTCTTTTTCGTATCAAAGAAAGATAGCAAAGCGCTGAGACCCTGTCAAGATTATCATTATCTGAACGATTACACAGTCAAAAATGCATATCCCCTCCCATCTATCGACGATCTTCTAAACAAGCTTCAAGGAGCCACGGTCTTCACGAAGTTAGATATCTGATGGGGATATAACAACGTCTGAATTAAACAAGGTGATGAATGGAAAGGTGCCTTCATCACTAAAAGAGGACTATTCGAACCGACAGTAATGTTCTTTGGAATGACCAATTCACCCACAACATTCCAAGCCATGATGAATGACTATTTCACCGATATGATCACCCAAGGATGGGTTTTGATCTATCTCGACGATATTCTCATATTCTCCAGAGACCCAAGACATCAACATGGACGAACCGAGAAAGTTCTAACAAGACTAGAAGAAAAGGATTTGTTCCTTAAACCAGAAAAGTGCGTTTTTAACACAAAAGAAGTCAAATACCTAGGTTTCATCATAAGGCCAAATAAAATCTCCATGGACCTGACAAAGTTAGCTGGAATTCAAGATTGGATTCCGCCAAAGAATGTGAAAGGCGTCAGATCATTTTTAGGATTTGGCAACTTCTACCGAAGATTTATTGGCAACTACGCAGAAACTGCCAAACCCCTAAACAAACTTACTAAGAAGACAAAAAGTTTTTGAATGGTCACAAGAGTGTCAAACGGCCTTCGATAACTTAAAGAAGAAGTTTCTAGAAAAACCCGTTCTAGTCATCCCTGATCCAACAAAACCGTTTTATGTTGAATCAGATGCATCCAAATGGGCTACAGGAGCCATTCTCCGACAAAGAGATACGAACGGAGATTTGAAACCCTGTGGTTACATTTCTCACAGCTTTATCTAGACAGAAAGAAACTATGACATATACGACAGAGAACTTCTAGGCATCATACGAGCCCTAGAAACATGGAGACACTTTCTAGAAGAAAGCCCACACCCCGTAACAGTGTTTTCAGATCACAAGAATCTGACATACTTCCGAAAGATGCAGAAATTGAACCGCCGACAAGCTAGATGGAGTTTATACCTATCAAGGTTTAATCTTCAACTCATTCACGTTCCTGGATCAAGAATGATCCAATCCGACACTCTATCCAGATGACCAGATCACGTCCCTGATAACGACGATGATAATGAAAACCTTGTCTTACTCCCAGACAAGATATTCGTTAATCTTATTAACGTTGAACTCGCAAAGATGATCGAGTCAACAACAGCTTCAGATGAATTAGTAAAGAACATATCAAATGTTCTTTCTACAAAAGGAATTCCACCGATTAAATCAAGCCTTTCCGATTGGAAAATAGAAGATGGAAAACTTTTCTATCAAAACCGATGCTACATTCCCGATAGAAATGGAATATGTAAACTCATCGTGCAAGAATTTCACGATTCACCAATGACCGGACACCCTGGAAGAGACAGCACATTAGAAATGGTGCAAAGACATTACTGGTGGCCAAGACTACCCCACTTCATATACGAATATGTTGCAGGATGCGCCACATGTCAACAGAACAAAATTAACACACATCCAACACAACCACCGACACAACCAATTAAGTCCACAGCGACACGACCCTTTCAGATGATATCGCAAGATTTTATATCAGGATTACCAAAGACAAAACAAGGCTATGACTGCGTAATGGTCGTGGTAGACCATGGCCTTACGAAGGGGGTAATTTTCATTCCAACCAATAAAGAATTGACCACCCTAGAAGCTGCCGAACTTCATTTCGATCATACCTTTAAACAATTTGGAATACCAGACGACATCATATCCGACCGAGATCCCCTTTTCATTTCAAAAACCTATCGAGGTTTAATGAAACTTTGTGGAATCAAACAACAAATCAGTACAGCATATCACCCCGAGACAGACAGAGAAACAGAACGAGTTAATTGGGAACTTGAACTATACCTCAGAATATTCTGCAAGAGAATTCCAGAAGAATGGGACAAGAACCTTTCTATCGCCGAATTCTCATACAATGGATGACCCCATTCTGTTACAAAACAAACCCCATTCTACCTCATGTTTGGATGCGAACCTACCGGAGTCCCAGTAGCATTCTCAAGGACGAATGTCCCTGCAGTCGAAAAGAGATTGTCAGAACTCTTAAAGGAAAGAGACAACACTCGAGCCGCACATGAACTGGCACGACAAGCTCAAATTAAATGATCCAAAAAGAATTCTCCTCCATTCAGTAAAGGAGACTTAGTATGGTTAGATGGACGACACCTCAACAGAGGCCACAAATTCCCAAAGATAGACTCATTACGCGAAGGACCCTTCAAGATCGAAGAAATCATGGGGCCAGTAATGTACAAACTTCGACTTCCACCCCAATGGAAGATACACAATGTTTTCCACAGAAAACTTCTTACCCCATATTGCGAAACCGATGTTCACGGAAAGAACTTCCCTGAACCCCCTCCTGACCTTATCAAAGGAGAAGAAGAATATGAAGTAGATTCAATTAGAGATCACAGAAAACGAGGCAAAGGATACCACTATCTAGTGGAGTGGAAAGGATATTCTGACGAAACCTGGGAACCAGAAAGCAATTTGAAGAATGCTTCCAAGATTCTCAAAAACTATAAGAAGAGGAAGAATCTCCAGTAGAACCCTCAGACAATCGTCTAAACTCGCAATCAAGCCAAACGGCTTTCTTCACAACCAACCCTCCTCTAAACATGTACACCTCCCTCTTCAACTCTGAATCTTTTCTCGCCGCCACCCTCTTCATTGAATGCCTCGTTCAAAAAGAAGAACACATCTGCACCCTCATCAAGACCTGTCACGATGACCCTACTCTCTCCCTCGATCTCCACCTCATTTTAGAAGCTATTGCCACTGAAAAACATCTCAAAGGCAAACTCGGATACAAGGACGAAAGCGTCCTTAGTCTCCACCATATGGTAACTACTGCCATCGCCGCCGCCATCCGACATGGCATCCTGAACACCATCAGGGACTGTGACAAACTCCCTGCTGTCCCAGACTATATCCCAAGCCATTTCGCAGGGCGAGGGATCATACAATACTTTGAGAAGTTCGACGCCGAGATCCACGCCTACGGGAAGAAATTCCCAACATCCACTTGCATCACTGCTCATCATCCTTACCGACGCACCCCTACTCCCCGCTGCTCGAAATGCAAGAGACTTGGTCACATTCGTAAGAATTGCAGCAACTACCAATGTGGAGGATGCCTTGGTGGGGACCAGGACACACTACCCCCAATTGCGAAACGAAGAAGAAGTCCGATAAGGCATGGGAATGGGAGAAGAATATGAGACCCGCAGGGTACGATACTATGACAGGAACACAGATGTGGAAAGAAAGAATCTATGATTGGACCAGAGTACCGATTCACAGAAATGAAGATTGGAACACTCCCAGGAAGCAACCTGAGTTTGTCGACTTGACCTCCCCTTCGCCACCTTCTTCGCCATCAATGCAGCCTCTCTTCCCACCAACTCCGCCATCATCTCCTTCCTATAATCCATACTCCCCTATGACCCACCCATCTCCTCTCTTCGACCTCAAAGACTTGGTCAGCGACTTTGACTCTATCACTTCCTCGTCTGGCAATATCAGTGATATTGAAGTTTAAAAGGGGGGTAATGTTACAGACTCTTTTTCTTTTACAAACATATATGACACGCAGACACTTACATATTCCTAAGACGTATCTAGACCATACTGGACAGTTCTAGACATGCACTCCAGTCAGATTCCGTTTTACGACTCATATGACTCTTACAACTCCTATAGACTGGACATGACTTGCATGACTTTATACAAGTCATACGAACTCATACTTCTGACTTGTATTTGACTCATACCCTTAGTATATAAGTAGGGTACTTTCGTTTGTATTCGGTAGCTTGAACCTAGGCAATCTAAGCTTAGTTCTCCCTCATCAGACCCTCAGAAACTAAGATCGCCCCCGAACTCTATAGTCTTTCAACTTAGAGCCTCTTTTGAAACCTTGACGATAAGTCTTCAACATTGAAGACTTAATACACATTTGACTTAACAGAAGTCAGCGTATCATAGAACCTTGGACTGACCTTCGGGCGCAAGGCTACTAGAACCTACCGTGTCGCTTTAAGGGCCAAGCAAACATTGTAGTGACCCACCTTGTCTCAACGACGAGAACTGTGGTAGACGAACGAACGATCGAACTCGAAAGCTTAACATAACTGCCCGTTACGCTTAACAACCGTAACAAATACAGCCACACCCCTCAATGATACACCCATAATCTTAATTTTTCTCTGTGAAATGTGGGTCAAACATTCTCAAATTTGGTATGGTCATAGAAGGGCATTTATCTGAGATTTTTATGTAGTTTTTAGTGTTTGAAAGTCCGGTTCGGTCCGGTTTTTTGATGCCCAGGGGTGTTAACCGTAACCATAACCGGTCTGCCTTTTCCCCAGAAGTCAAAAGACCAGACCGGACCGCAAAAAGACCGCAGACCGCGGTTTTTTGCGGTCTATAGACCGGTTTCGGTCTGCATCAGTTTTAACCGGTTTATGACCGGTCTTTAGGCCAATATTTTAAAATTATGAATCGGTAAATTTATTAACATCTCTAATAGCTTCAAAACGAGCCCAAGAACGTTAAATCCCGTTAGGTATTGGTGCTTCTATAAAATAAGTCTGGTACATCTATTATTCCCAAAAGTAATTTACATTTTAATTCATATCTCTCTCGTTTTTTTACCAAATCGTACGTTCTTGGGTGCGTTTTAAAGGGTATTTAAGGGGCTACAAGAAACCGGTCCAAACCGGTCTTTTTGCGGTCTTTACATTTCAAAAATAAAAGACCGTAACCGCAGGTCCGGTCTTTTGCGGTCTTGGTCTGGTCTGGTTACGGTCTTTTTCCAGTCACGAGACCGGACTTCCAAACACTAGTAGTTTTTGTAGAGAAAGGTTGTGCTCAAATCTGTTGAAGCTAATTTCTCATTTTTGGTGTATCATTAGCAGGTGGATGACTGTACATATATCAACCTATGGTTGCATCAGACCAGTCTTCACATCTTATGTCTACCAGCAATGAAACTCTCAATACTCCTATTCCTTCCAATCCTACTACTCAGTCAACTCTTGGGAATGAACAAGATCCTGATCAAGGTCAAGGAGGTCAAGAACTACGTCAAGAAGGGCAACATCCTACTCAAAACCCAAATCCTGAACAGGATAACGACAAACAAGACGATCCAAGCTTGCCTGGGAATTTCCCGGCTGCGAACACCATTCTTGCTTTGTGCAATTCCGTTCTCGAGGATTTTAGATCATCACGGATCCCTAAAGTGGCTGTGTTATCCAGAATCTACATGCACTTACTTCATGGCATTCCAGATAATGATGTTTCCTTTGCTTCAACCATTGAAGAGGCCTTCGCTTGATATCTCACTATCATTGAGAATCATCAACATCACCTCAAAGAAGCTCAGCATCGCGGCACTCGTCGACAACGATCCAAAACTCCACCAGAGAGTCGTGCTGAAAGAGGAAACCCTGACAAAGATCAAACACCCAACAAGCATTCAAAACCAGACGAATTTCAATATCCTTGGATTATATCCGACTTCATTCATCGTGTCACTCTATCACCGTCACTTGTGAGCACACTTGAACTTCTTAAGCTCTATGCAATTGATCCAAAAGGGACTAAACACTCTCTTGTCAATTCTCCAACATGCCCTGAATTCCCAGACTCAGAGTGGACTAACATTCTCGCCAGGAGAGCTGTCAACCTTGATGCTGTCCTCAGCGGTTATTACTCAATGTCCAACAACGATGAGCAAGTGGAGGAGATTGGAGATCTTGAAATACACTTTGGAACAGTCAACCCAACAAAGACAGTTTCAACAGCTTGGGAATGGAGCATCACATGAAACAGGGCTTCACGAGCGACATCAACTGCTTTCCCACACAGAGCTGGAGAGCTGGCTGAATATGCTGAGTATATCGTTGGACTCTTCGCTGCCACTGATGCCCACTTCCATGATTGTGTTATCCTTTTCGACAAAGCTGTACGGCGTTGCATTGGTGCTTGTCAGGACTTGGAGCTCACAGATCTCAACAAATTCTCAGACCTCAGATCAACTCACATGGACTCAATTGGTGCTGCTGTCGTTCAACGGGCATCTCTCGCCACCAATATCAAACCCAATTCAACCTCTCAGAAGAAGATACAAGAACCATGCAACCGTTGGAACAAGGGGTTATGCGCGCTTGAGGCTTCTCAGTGTCACCGACTTCACATTTGTAACTAATGCACAAAATCTGGACACAAGGGCCCCGATTGTCCATCTTGATTTTCCCTGGCTTTCGCTCCCACACTCGTTTATCACCTCTCCCATCAAAAACCTATTTCAGCCCCCTCGAGTTCAGCTGGGGGTCATCGTAAAATGATCAACATCTCACGCGGCTCTCATCAACCCCATCAAGAGCCGTGGACATTAGACCATCTTGTGCATGAGCGGTCTATTGCTTTGGGGCTTGCTATAGACAATTCAACTCACCTTACCTACACCTTGGCACTCAATTCATATCTTACATTCTGCAAAATCCACAATTTCCCCATAGAACCCACTGAAGAAACCTTCAGCTTCTTCATCGTATATATGTCAACCCATATCAAACCTGACTCAGTCAATTCATATCTTTCAGGCATTTGCAACCAACTCGAGCCTTTCTTCCCTGAGGTCCAGAAGCGGCGAGGCAGCATTCTAGTCTCTCGGACTCTTGCTGGATGCTGACATCGCTTCGGAACACCCATCCACCGCAAATGACCCTTATTGAAAACTGATTTAGAAACTGTCATATCCCATATCAGGAGTTCCCTGGATCATGACGACAAACTGTTCCTCACTATTTTACTTACCGGATTTCACGGTCTCTTGCGACTTGGCAAGTTGACTTTTCCTGATAGAGTTGACTCTCGTGACTATCGCAAAGTCACCCTATGCCATACCATCAACATATCAGCTACATCCTACTCATTCTTGCTGCCTGGCCATAAGGCCAACCACTTTTTTGAGGGGAATATGATCATAATTCAAAAGACAAACCTCCCATCAAACCCACACAAATTTTTCCTGTCATATCTCGCCTCGCGAGATCATCTCCACCCCTTCAAGCCTGAATTATGGTTATGGAAGTCTGGCATTGTGCCGACACGTTCCTGGTTCATCAAAAAACTTTGCTGATTTTTCCCCTCTGACATTGCAGGGCAATCAATGCGTGCCGGAGGTGCCACCTCATTAGCTGAAGCTGGGGTGTCACCTGAAATCATTCAAGCCACAGGACGTTGGGCGACGGATACTTTCAAGATTTACATCAGAAAAAATCCTGTCCTTCTCCAAGCCATGCTCTTTGGTCGACCTGCTCACCAACCTGCATCTGTTTCATAATTGTCTGAACATTTCTCTTCTTTTTTATTTCTCTGACTTTTGTACTACTCTTTCTGTGGACTTCTCAAGCCTAGGACAGTTACCTCAACATCCTCCCATTTTCCGGCACCTTACAAACATCCCTCCGTTTTCCACTCCACTCAACTTCTTATATTCAACTTACCCTCCCTTCCCTCCCTTTTTTCACATCTTTAATAGGTATAATAGGACATTGGTACCTTCAATGGACATCCTAGCGGGTTCTCCAGGTGCGCGGTGCATCTGGAGAACTCTGCATTTGCCTATTTACATATATATATAAGGTTTCGAAAACTTCACCCTTAACAGGGGAATCAGGCAGAACCGACAGACAAACAACTGCAAAAGATCCTCAAAAGTGCTAAAAATAAGCAAACAACAATGGGAAGGGCCGAGATGGGTCACGAGAACAACAAACAAGTACAACTTTGAAAATATTTTCGTTGAGTGACCTGAGAAAAAAAATATGTGCTAACTGGACAGTAAGCCAAAAGGTACCTCTGGTTAGCCTGAATGAGCCCACCAAAGAATCAGTTGAAAATACTGAGTGGTTATGTCTGTAGAGTAGTGCTTGGAAGTCCAGTTCAGTCTGGTTTTCTGTCCAGATTTGGCAGGACCAGGACTGAGACTGGTCTCAAATATTTCAAAAGCTCAAAAAAACCAGACCGAACCGATGTAGACTGGTCCAGTTTTTTTATATGGTTTTGTGTGGTTGCAAGACTGGTCTGAACCAGTTGTGGTTCAGACCAGTCAACAACCAGTCCCAGACTGGTCTTGTAGGTAGCAAACAGTATAGATAATGATTACACTATGTACACATTCCGTTTACAATGATGTTTCTAGAACCTGCTTTCAGGAGCCACATGGTCATGTTGGTTCGAGATGGCAGTGTTGACATGACAGGGGTGGAAGGTGGTGTTGGCGTTGACATGAGTGGTCAGTGTTGGATGTGGGTGGAGTTGATGTGGAGCAGTTGGGTCAACGTGGTGAGGTTGGCATTGGGGTCAGGATAGTGGGGTTTGGGTGAGGTCAGGTGTGAGGTCGATGGGCAGATAATGTGGGAGTTGATGAGGTGGCAGTTGATGAGGTGGCAGGTTGGCAGAGATATGAGTGAGTGGAGAAGCTGTGTGATGGGCTCTGCAATGCACCTGGTAGGTCTACCACAAGCTAGTGTTGCCGCGGCTCAGCTAGCCACAAGCCAGCTTGCTGAAACGGCGGCTTTTGCCGGTTCTGGTTTGTGATTGCTCGGGAGCCGATCAAATCCAGTTCGGCTCAGCTTAGCCAATGGTTTTGAGCCGGTTATAGCCGGTAAATGTTGCTGCAATTGATGACTCGCGCATTAAGTACAGTGAGCGTAAATGTGTAATAAAATTCAACATAAATGTACAGCGTGATGGTATGTAAGGTTGCATACATTACAGTGAACAAAAAATAGCCCTCTCAATCATTGTCATCCTGTCCAACAACGTGAATTACCTCATCAATATCTATACCATCCTCCTTAATCTCCGAAGTTAGCTTCCCTAACAAATCTGCTAAATCTTCATTGTCATCTGCATGGTACTCAAGTTCATTTTCTGTAACAGCCCAACCCTCCATAAAGTTAAGCCATTGCTGCTTGAGCGAAAATTTCAACATTTGAAGTGCCTCCATTAGAACAGGGTGAATTCGATTTTGCCTCTTCGTATCAGTTTCGGCACTGGATGAAAAAACGCGCTCAGAAGGAACCAAGGATGCTTGAATGGGTAAGTAATCTAACGCCATCGCGTACAATATTTGATGGGTTTCCTCGCTTATCTGCAAACAAATCAGTGACGCAGATTGGAAAATAGTGAGACATTGTACTTACCGCCCCAAACCCTATAATATCCATGCCACGCAGTGAGACCGTCCCATTTCCATACAACTCAAACTGTTCTTCAACTCCTTGGCCCGACGGCGAAGGAGCACCCAAAACCTCCAACATATCTTCGAGCCCATATCGTCCAGCTAAATCATGCCAGCTTCGCCTCTGTTGCTGTGAGTCCGTACTAGATGTAGGTTGTTGAGCTTGTCCATGAAGACGGTCATGGTATTTTCGCATCTGCAACAAGTATATTAAGGGTACTGTCACCATAACAAACTGAGCGACTTACAGTATTCTTGATAATTACGATGGCCCTGGCAACATAATTAGGCTCCCAGTGTCGTCGAATCCATGACAATCGTATCAAGGGATTGAGAACTGGCCATGTCAAGTTATTAAATAATGTATGAATCTGAACCTTAACTCACACATCGCGATAACATAGGCAGGCGAATCATCCATTTTCTTGTAGTAAGTTGTCGCCCACTGGATACCAATATCCATCCATCGGGCCAAGTGGGGGTGATCTCTCCCAAGTTGCTCCCATGCCGTCATGAACATTTCGAAGGCGGGAATTGCGCCTGATAAAACGGGAGTGCACTCTTTCGACATGAGTGTCTGTACTTGATGGGGTACCTAAGAGAAAGACTTAGCCTCAAACAGGTATCAATATTAGAGACGTACACCCAGTACGATCTCAAAATCCTGGAGTACAGCCCATTCCATATCAGTAAGTCTAAGTTTCGCAAGATCTCTATTGATGGGCAAAGAAAGAAAATGCTCGACGGCCTATTTTTATAAGTATACACTTATAAAACGATAGAGTTCAAACATACTGGGCGTAGTTTACGAAACCAATTGATCATGAAATAAAGAGAGTCCCACTGAACCTTCATGTCACGTACAAGTTGCGCCTGCTTAACTTGGATAGTCACGGTCGGATCCTCAGTTGACTTGAACCACCCTTTCTTGTTTCCATCGTCTATTACTTCCGCCAGGTGCTCACGTCGTTGACCTGAGGCGCGTACTGCTCGTACGGTACTCCGGCACAATGTGATTGGGTCGCAAACAACTGCTTCTTCATAAGTCTGATTATCAGGATCGCTCGGAGGGCCTGATGCAGATGCGATGAATCCCCCTGTATCATCTACCAGGGCGATGTTAGTAAAGGCTTCGATGACATGAGTTGAACATATGTTGGTAACATGTGGGAAACATCGTATATGATTTTCCTTGTGATTGAACTCAACGTCGCGAGGGCGTAGAAGTATCTCAAGTTCTTTCAGGAAGGCATCATTGAGCGAGCAGTTATCGAGGGTCCAATGGCCTCCCTGTCCATGTAAGCATAAAGTAGAAAAGGGTAAGAAAATGAAACATAGACGTGCCTTGACCATGATCCCAACTCGATCCAAGAGATGGAGGACAATCCTTGCTAGCCTGTTCCCATTGTGGCTTCCTCGAAGACGGTGAAATGCGATGAGTGTAGAACACAGCTAAAGACCTTTGGTAGACTTGTCTCTATGTATCCAATGTGCGGTAATGGCCAGGTATGGGTACCGAGCTTTTGTTGACCAGATATCCACCGTGTAGGAAATTCGCCCTGGTGCATCCTAGAGTGATTGGTGAATACAAGGAAACAAAGCGGTCAACCGAAACAACATACTGCTAATTCCTGTTTTAGGACCTTGAAATACGCCTCCCATGCCTTGATAATAAGTTCGCGCATCTTTGTTCGGCGGGGAATGTCTTTGTCCTCGAGGTCCTCACATAAAAGCAAGAGGAGCTGTCGAAATTCTGGGCATTCAACGACATATATAGACTATGAAGAAGTTTAGACTAATACCAAACATTAAAAGCGTGCTTTACTAACCTGATCATCCGCAACGATGAAGTTCAGAAGATGCTGTAAAAATGTGTTCTGGGAAAAGGGAGAACATTGCATTCCACGTCCGGACGCAGGGGGTGTTCCAGTTTCGCTCTCGAGTGCAGGGACTTTCCATCGCATTTCACGACACTTCTGGAGATAAATATCCTTGTGGCGGCTTAGGAGGTGGTTGCGCAATGGGTTATTTGAGGTGGACGCTGAGAAACTACCTGCACCCTGGCGTAAGTCTATCCCATTCGCCCTAAACAAC